TCTAGGCCAGTCATCTCCAAGAAAGCCGCCAGATATGCGTTCCTGCCCGCGCACAAACAACCCCCGGGGCCTTCGATGCCCTCCTCTAGGTTACGTTGTTTGTCCACTGTCTTCTTATTCCTGGAACGAAAAGACATTCGTGTGCAGAAGTGGCAGCGACTTTCAGTGATTTTGTGTAGTTTTGGCATTTAATCAGGCCTAATTTTGTTTTTTCCCAAAATCCTTGATGAATGTTGAGAATATCATTAATGGTATTCATCTGAATTCTGTGTAGTACGTAGTCTACGTATTCGCAACATTGAGGCTCATAACGGAGAGTGGCAACTCTCGGTAATGACATGTTGGCAGTATTCCGCCGAAAAATGCAATCACTTTCAGCTAGAGTAGGCTACCAAGGAACACTTGAACGAACTACATAGTTCAGTTACCTTTTAGTGACAGCCGTGTACTGTCTCACACACGCGTCTCAAGAGGGCAAATTTGTGAAAATAACTGCCTAGAGTCCGTGCATAGTTACAACGACTTCTAGGACTGAGCTCAGCTTTCAGTTTTTCAACTTTTGTCGTCTGTAATATCGCATATGAACATACTCCATCTCCTATTAAAACGACATGAATAACGAGTCAGGTTGTTGTTTTTCTAAACATGGGGTTCCGAAAGATTTAGTACATTTATATGTTTGGAAGTGTTTGGACTGGGGGTGATCTAGGCGATCGAAAGCGCTTGGATGGCATTAATTCGGCAGGTTCAACTTACTTGGACGACAATTTGCTGCAGAGGCGGTTGAGGGATGTGCAGTTAAAACCACTGTCCAAGCAGTAGTAGAGCCAACCGTATGAAGCGTTCACGAAATGTGCATATTGTTGGAGGCGATCAATGTGCAGCCAGTGCTTGCTTAGGTTCTCAGTGGGCGATTCCTCAACATTTTTGTCCATCTAAACAGATCAGAAGGATCAGGTCAGACTGGCCGGCACAATAGCTTGCAGGCGGGCTCACCACCGGAGCCGCGCAAAATAGAAACCCAACTATTTTTTTACACTCTCTTTTACTAAAAAGCTTTTTTCGTGCTCGTTCGCTGTGCGAGGCAAGTTCTGCCTGGCAAAGAATTGGATTACAGTGGGGTTCCGT